TTTGTGTTCTCTCAAATCCTAAACTTTTTAATTCTTTAACACTTTATCTTTATCTTTTTAAGTCTATTTCACTAGATTCTACTTCTTGAATAATATCTTCTAATCCTAACCTCTCTGAAAACTTCTGATACCTCTACTACTATTGGATATGAATTGACAATTACATCTCTGTGCTGACATGGTATGGCAACATGAACTGATGTACATACGTACGAAGTTCTACGTTGTTACTGATTGATTCATTGTCTCCGGTGGTAAGGCCTTTTGAAAAACCGAGCTAACAATTTAAAACCTTCATACAACAAACCCTTGCGTGACCAGCCTGAAGAAGTAGTCCGTATGGCTCTGCGCAGAACATCTGCAACTAAAAATAACTATCAACCAACACAAAAGTCACAATCTTCAATACAAATGTCAAGACATTTCTACTGTATGGGGCAGAAACTTGGAGAACCACCACAAAAGCCATTATCCACAAGATACAACTGTTTATAAACAGTTTTTGACGGAAGATACAGTTCATCCGTTGACCAGATAGTCAGTCAGTCAGTCAGATGCAACGTAGAACTTCGTAAGTAAGTACATCAGTTCATGTTGGCATACCACATCAGCACAGACATATAATTTTCAATTCAAATCCAATAGTAAAAGAGGTAGTAAAAGTATTAGAAGTAATCGGAGAGGTTGAAGAATCCAGAAGATTAGGATTTGAGAGAACACAAAGAATAAATGCACCGGCGCCATCGCAAACGGTTTTGAGCATCTAACCATCGATTATTATCATCTCGCGGACCCCAACCAGGTAGTCGACAACTACTGACATAGCTCAGTCCACTTGTTAATGACTTCATGGATCGGCCAGATAGTATCACCAACAACCTATTGTGGGAGAAAACAAACCAGATTCCAACGCACGAAGAAATCAGGAAAGTGCGCTACTGCTGCTGCTCAGTAGCCTATGCTCGATTGAGGATGACGAGTAATTATGTACGTACATTGATGTAGTATAGAAACTTGAGCTGATGCACATATTCATGTCACTAACAAATTGCTTTTATGTATGGTTAATTCATATTGAAATTTCGATTATTGTTACACTAACGGAACTCATACATTTGTCAAGACTCCTGCAACTCACAGGACTCAAACCTAGGAGCTTCTGTCGTGCACGTGAACACCTAAACTCTGGGCTATTGATCCGGTATCTAACGGTGATAATGTCTAACCTCGATTAATTCATGGTCTTGTGCAACCTCATATATATGTTTTCATTCATTTATTCACTGAATGAAGAGCTTCAATCATATAAATAATAATTTTTAAAAATTGGCTCCTATTTGACAAAAATCCACTAACAAAATGATGTGGTTTTGTAAATATTTTTTTCTAGAAATACAAATACTAAGCTTTGATTTATTTTTGCAGATGAGTCTAATTGTACTTTTTACATGTATGAAAAGCCTAACAAATAAAGATTTATTAATGGAATATTTCAGCATGTCAGCATTAACATAAACCAAACGCACAGAAGAGGAACCGTAAAAAGTAATTGGTTTGAATGTATAGCGGCTTTTTATTCCGAATTTGATACACAGTATACAGTCAGTCAGTCAGTTGCAACGTAGAACTTCGTACGTATGTACATAAGTTCATGTTGCCATACCACATTAGCACAGAGACGCAAATGTCAAATCGAATCCCATAGTGATAAAGATAGTAGAGGTATTAATGGTAATTAAGAAGACTAGGGTTCGAAGATGTTACGCGACCTCAGAATTGCTGGTAAAGTGTTGCTGCCGATCGCACTAATCCTTGATTGACAATGATGCTCGAACACAGAGAGTAGTCGAATATCCATAACTCAATGTGGCTGGTTTTCACTAATTCATTTGTATTGGTTGTTTAAATCTTCCTATTAGAACACAGAGATCGAATTGTTAATTCAAGTCCCATAGTAGCAGAGGTAGTAGAAGTATGAGCAGTAATCGGAAAGATTAGAGTTCTAAGATATTATTCAAAAATTATAATCTAGTGAAATAAACTTAAAAAAAGGAGAATGAAGATGATGAGAAATTGCGGATGATTTCGAGCCATTTCACTCGAGGTATCTAACCATCGATTACTACCATCTCGCAGACCCAAACTAGGTAGTCTGCATCTACCAACATGGCTCAATTCACTTAACAGTGACTTCATGTATTCCTGCTATGTTTTGCTTCGGCTGTCCCTAGCTTTCTTCCAGTAGAAATAAGACAGAACATGCATCCTGTAATCCACTGCCAACCACTTCACCTATGCTAATTATAGAGCAAAATCGTTCTGACAATTCAAATTCAATAGTAGAAGATGTAGTAAAGGTATTAGGAGTAATCGGAGCGGTTAGGATTAGAAGATATTATTCAAGAAGTATGATTTAATGAAAAGTTTAGAAAGTCAAAACTAGAGGTGTTGAAGAACTCAGAAGATTAGGATTTGAGAGAACACAAAGAATAAATGCACTGACGCCATTGCAAACGATTTTGAGCCATGTCATTCAAGGTCTCTAACCATCGATTATTATCATCTTGTGGACCCCAACCAGGTAGTCGACAATTACCGACATGACTCAGTCCACTAGTCAGTGACTTCATGGATTTCTGCCATGTCACTGACTAGTGGACTGAGGCATGTCGGTAATTGTCGACTACCTGGTTGGGGTCCACAAGATGATAATAATCGATGGTTAGAGACCTTGAATGACATGGCTCAAAATCGTTTGCAATGGCGCCGGTGCATTTATTCTTTGTGTTCTCTCAAATCCTAATCTTCTGAGTTCTTCAACACCTCTAGTTTTGACTTTCTAAACTTTTCATTAAATCATACTTCTTGAATAATATCTTCTAATCCTAACCGCTCCGATTACTCCTAATACCTTTACTACATCTTCTACTATTGAATTTGAATTGTCAGAACGATTTTGCTCTATAATTAGCATAGGTGAAGTGGTTGGCAGTGGATTACAGGATGCATGTTCTGTCTTATTTCTACTGGAAGAAAGCTAGGGACAGCCGAAGCAAAACATAGCAGGAATACATGAAGTCACTGTTAAGTGAATTGAGCCATGTTGGTAGATGCAGACTACCTAGTTTGGGTCTGCGAGATGGTAGTAATCGATGGTTAGATACCTCGAGTGAAATGGCTCGAAATCATCCGCAATTTCTCATCATCTTCATTCTCCTTTTTTTAAGTTTATTTCACTAGATTATAATTTTTGAATAATATCTTAGAACTCTAATCTTTCCGATTACTGCTCATACTTCTACTACCTCTGCTACTATGGGACTTGAATTAACAATTCGATCTCTGTGTTCTAATAGGAAGATTTAAACAACCAATACAAATGAATTAGTGAAAACCAGCCACATTGAGTTATGGATATTCGACTACTCTCTGTGTTCGAGCATCATCGTCAATCAAGGATTAGTGCGATCGGCAGCAACACTTTACCAGCAATTCTGAGGTCGCGTAACATGTGTTTGGGCACAATGACTAAATTTCTATTAATTTCACCATGTACAAACACCGACTTCGTTAGTTTGGAAATGTACTACGACCTCAGAATCACTGGCAAAGTATTGTTTCTGATTCCACCAATCCTTAATTGACAATGACAACTGAGTGCAGGGATCAAACCACGTGGTCTAAGCCTATTACTCTGGCTCAATCTGATTAACAATTATTTCATTGGCCGACACCATATCCTTACTTAGTACCTGATTTCTAACCCCACCATTGTTTACTCAGTGGTTCCAACGCACAGGAACGATGCTTTGAAGATGTCTATGGTCGAATATTAGTAACCTACGATTACCCGCTATTCTTAATGACGATGCTTCAAACTTTACTTCCTTACTTCTAGTAAAGCATCCATAACTAGTAAGAAAACGTAATCTTAGCTTAACTCCAGATAACCCTAAATTAATATTCCCTATCTTAAAAAGTTGTTTGGGTGTTGATATGCCTTAATTTTTGCTTTCTTCAGTTCACAAACTGAGATGAAATAAGCTCGAAGTGGGATCATATCTCCTAACTGAGTGATCACTCTAGCAAGTGGTATTAATGCCATTAGTATATTCACTTAAAAACAAGCTTTAATAGTTACCACGTGTTAAACAACCTACTCATTCTTACTAAACAGTGAGTATATTGTTTACATAATCTCACTGTTCAAGGGAATCGGTTTTCAATCATCAATATAAACCTTATAACACATTTCCATATGAATGTAAGTAAGCGAAGAAAAAGATTATTTGAAATTTAAAAAATTACGGATCTTTTAAAGTCAGAAACCCAAAAATTATAGTACTATAAAATGGTCAACCAGGGTAAGTGCAAGCAACAATTCTAATGATAGAGAAAATAATAAGTAATTATTGGGGTGAAGGCCAATTCGTTACAATAGTAGACTGAAGTAACTGTCAATGCTACCATTAAGGTAGCTTCAGTGGACTTATGTACTGAATGTACAAATGAATAAACAGAAAAGACTGACGATAATAAACGATTTAGGTGCACATAAGGCAACATATCAGTCTGAACTAAATCCACTAACGAAGACACCAAGAATTTGTATTCACTGTGACCTAAAAAACAGACCTTTATTTGACAAAGTTCAGTGTGCTTTTTGGCATGGAAGATAGGCTATTTAGCTTGACGATCATAACACGTGATTATATATTTACGTCATTCTTTAGAAAATAGTTTTCACGTATGGTGCTTATTTTCCAGACATGTCATCACAAGAAAGTCCCTCAAATAGTTTTGGTAGATTGATAATAGTGCTACTCCTCAATTTAACGCTTCTAGCAACGGACCAAGAAAATCTCATTTCAAAATCCAGTGGCATCAAATGGCAACCTGTCATTTTCACACTAAATCATCATAATATATCAAAAGTGTAAAATACGACTTGAAACATAACACATGAAAATATATAGGCAAAACAGTTATGAAAAACTTACTTTCCATAGCTTCGAAAACTCTTCTTGTGTTTACTTGAACATCCTTAACTTTTCTGTTTGCAGCTTTTAAGTCAGCCTCATGGTCTGACAAAGCTTTCCGGAAATTAGGGCTGTCTACAACACAATCACGAAACTCGAGAGGGCTTAACACAGGCATCACACATAAAAGTACGTGACCTCAAAACCGTATGTGTGCAAGGTCATGCGAATATGAATCTGAAGCTTTAAAACTTTGCAAAGAAGGAATGCTGGATCTTTTTAACCTGGGAGAAATCTGTCAAAAACGTAGGATTGAGGTATTAAGCTCATCTATGTTAGTGTAATCATGAATATTCTCAGGTTCAGAATCCTATACACCGAACGCGCGCGCTTCGAATTTGACGTGCCCTCGCTGACTCTCTTCCATTTACGGAAAACAATCCACTTTCGGGATACTTTATCACCTCCGAAGCTATAAAAAGTTGTCTCCATTCATTGGTTGACAATCTGAAAACATTTTCGGGAATACGGAACCATTCCAAGTCAGAACCATTGCGCGGTAGGTCTAGCTACCTCATTCAACTGCTCTATTTCTAGTTGCTTCGGCAGCATACATACATCCACTCACTCACAAACACAGGACTTGTGGACAAGTTACTGGATACACGCAAAGTTACTTACTAATACGGTCAAAGGTAAAGTTGCAATTTTGGAGTACTTTCAGGCTCTATTCCTTGTAGTTTTATTATATACTACTAAATTTCTTCTTTCCTAAACCCCTTTTTTGTGTATCTCGTATCCTAATTTTGTGTATCTCATATTTTAATCTCGGTATTCACCTCCTAATCTCCCTGGCATCATGTCAAGTAATAAGGTCGCTAGTACACTTTACACTGTAACAACTAGGAAAACTTATAGAGGCATAAACCCCGGGGTCGATAGCGCATCGAAAATTCCAATATCGTGCGAACGGGCTGCTAAAAAACCCAAAAGGTCAGTCGATAGTACGCCCCTCAGTGTCCACACTTTAGACCACTCAACCCAGACACCACAGAGGAAGCAAGACACCACCCCTATTCCTAAAAAGACCAGTAAGTTAGTTAAGAATAGGAGAAAAAGACGCTCCAAGGCTCGGTCGACACAGAAACAGCATAAGGACGACTGTTTTGCCTGCTCATCACCAGTCAAAACCAGCGACCATGCTTTCGAATGCAATTTCTGCAGTACATGGGTACATTGTCACTGCGACAATACAGTACCTAAAGAGTACTACAGTTTCATGCTGAGTCACCCCTGCCCATGGTTCTGGTACATCTGCCCTCGGTGCAGAGTTTCTGAGGCACTGACAAAGCCACAGGTCTCACCTAAAACCAGCCCCCAAGTCCAAACGACCAAAGCAAAATCGCCTGGCACTAAACCGGTAAAACAAGTGACCAAGGCTACCACAACCCTGCCTAACACACCGACAAAACTGCCGGTTGTTGTTAACCCCCTAGTAGCTACCAGCAACAGGCAACAATGGGTGACCGTGAAGAAGGGAAAGGGCAACACCCCAACTCACAAGCAGCCTCCACCCAAGACCAGGGACAACAGATCTAACTCCCTCATCTTATTTAATGTCCCAGTGTCGGAAGGAAGCTTGCTAGAAGGTAGGGCTGCCTTCGACAAAGAGCAATGGGATAAACTCTGCTCAACCCTCGGAATGTGCGAGGTCCCAGCTAAAATATGCCGCCTTTTCAAAGGCCAGAACGTCTCGAAAGGAAAACTCCCTCCAATGAGGGTAACTCTTGACTCAGCACGACTAGCTGAAGACACCATCCTTTCATCCCAAAGACCATCGGTCAAATTGTCCTCGCTGATTCGTATCAGGCATGACAAGCCGTGGTCGGTACGTGCAGCAGCCAGATGTGCACCAGACCCCCAGGAACAGACCACCATGGTAGTTCACGGCATACCCGAACTCACCAGCGGTAACCCGGATGAAGCACACGAGCACGATGTGCAACAGTGGCGATGGCTATCGCGTAGCCTATCTCTCCACACCCCGATGGCAGTCTGCATCTCCAGGTTGCCCCGCCCGTCACACCTTACGTCTATCAAGTCACCACGCCTGATAGCTGTAACACTCAGGAACCGGGAAGACCTGACCGAAACACTACAAGCTTGGTACAGTTCGAAGAACGATCTACCTAGCCACATCATATGTTGTGAGAGCCGACCTAGATCTGTGAGACAACAACAGGGAGGCCAAAATGAACACACACAGCTGATAGTCAAACTCGGTCAACTACCTCTGGCACAAGCTATGAGTGAACCAACCGCGCAGGCAAAAAACCTGCAGAGACCAGTTCCCACAGAACTGGCCGACTCGGTTTAAATAACTTGTCTGAAAACCCGACAAAGGCTGATGCTGCAAGTGTGCACCAGGTTCAGAGACAAACCACTAAGTGCCTCTATAGCAACGTAAGAGGACTAAGGAGTAAGCTGTTAGAAGTCAGGAATATGCGCTCTTAGATGGATCTGAAGATCATAATCCTAACAGAAACATGGCTATCCCCTGACATTTCAGACGCAGAAGTGAGCTTTCCAGGCATGACACTCTTCCGAAGCGATAGGGAACACCAAACTAGAGGTGGAGTGGCTATATATGTAAATAGCCACTTAAAAGCAGAGCGGCTATACAACACCCAACTAACTGAGATGACAGAATCATGTTGGTGTTGGTTCCACTCAAATGGCACGAAATACTTGATTGGAGGGATCTACCGACCTCCTTCGGGTACTAGGGCCCAGAAAAGCAAACTAGTTGAGGTAATTCTGCAACTGCCACTCCTAGGGTTTGATCAATTACTCTTAGCCGGAGACTTCAATACCCCATCTTTAAATCTCAGCAATCAGAGTATAACTCCCACTGGTTGGTTCCAAAGAAAACTTGGTACAGCCATTAGAAGCTCTGGCCTGACTGAGCACGTACGCAGCGCCACTAGGTGGACTAAGGAAGGGAAGTCCTCAAACCTAGATTATCTGTTAACGAACGACCAGCTCCTGGTTGAGGATGTTCACATCCGCGCTCCAATAGGTAGTAGTGACTATGGCACAGTCCTGTTTAACATGGTCACAAACGAAACGCTGACACCGGACGATAACGAGCCTTACCTTTGCTACAGTAGGGCAAACTACACACGCATGAGAGAGGTGCTCCTACATGCCCCATGGCCACGGGAGTGGTGGAGGCTGACAGTAGATGATCACTGGCAAGCAGTGAGAGATATCATCCAAAACGCTGTCCTAGACAACGTACCTCAATCACACCCAAAACGCCAGAACAGAAGAACCTGGGTTAGGCGCAGCACAGAACGCTTGCTACAGGTGAAGAGGAAAGCCTGGCACAAGTGGAAGGTCTCCTTGAAGGATTCCGATCGCAGTTCTTACTTGGCATTGAGAAACAGATGCAATACCAAAGTTCGAAGCGACAGGAGACAATTCCAGACGAAACTAGCCGCCAGAATAGAGGCAAACCCGAAACATCTGTTTAGGTTCATGTCCAAAAGAAAACCTACTAATCAAGGGTTGTGTCCTCTAAAAGGGCCTAGCGGAGAAGACACCACCAACCAAGAGATGGCCGAGATCTTCGACACCCATTTTTCTGATCAATTAAACCTGGCGCCTACATGTTCAGAGTATTACGTCAACCCAATGCCAGCTGACGGCTTAGGGAACATCCGTATAACTCCTGACCTAGTATTAAGGAAACTAAAATCCTTACGCCCAGGTAAGTCACCAGGTTGTGACAACATCCGCTCTATAGTCTTGCAACAGTGCGCCGAAGCCCTCGGTTCACCGTTATGCAACCTGTTCAGGCATTCACTGGAGTCACACCAATTCCCAGCGGAATGGAAACAAGCTACTCTCTCTCCAATCTTCAAAGGAGGAGATAGAAAGGACCCAGCCTGTTACAGACCAGTCGCACTGCTACCTATATTATCAAAGGTTATGGAAGGGCTAGTGGACGAACAAATGAGGGAGTACATGGATAAGAATAAAATACTCCATGAAGCTCAACACGTGTTTCGGAAAGGCAGGTCGTGTGCATCTAATCTTCTCATCGCATGGGACAGTTGGACATCCTGCTTGGACCGTAAAATACCAGTGCACGTAGTATTTCTCGACTTCGCAAAAGCCTTTGACATAGTGCCCCACGCACGCCTAATCGAAAAGGTTGTGGAAATGGGCTTCACTGACCCACTCGTATCTTGGCTCAGAAACTACCTTGAGAATAGAAAGTTTCGCACCAAGGTAAACAGGGTGCACGCGAGTTGGACAGTATCCACTTCAGGAGTTTCACAGGGGACCATCCTAGGCCCACTCCTCTTCCTGATATTCATTAACGACCTGCTAAGCTTAGTTAGCTCACCGGCACTGATCTACGCAGACGATGCGAAGATCTGGAGGTCCATTAGAAGCGAAGAGGATTCGACTGAGCTTCAAAAGGACCTTACGTCCATTGAGAAATGGGCAGTGAAAAACGGTTTAAAACTCAACCAACCGAAGTGCCACGTCATGCATTTCCTGCCTCATATGACGCAAACCACCTACACTCTCAATGGAAGTCCGCTCCCTAATGTCTCCTCCACACGAGTCCGAACTATGTAGGGGATGCAGCCAATGCAAATGCGACTCTTCACTTTATGCGAAGACAGCTTGGTGCTATAACCCCGAAATTATTTTTAACCCTGTTTAAGACGTACGCGCGCAGACACTTGTAGGTTCACAACGTCATCGCACCCCCTCTGCTTAAAAGAGACATTAATCTCTTGGATCGAGTGCAGAGACGAGGAACCAAATGGGTGATAGGGTTGAAAAATAAACCCTACGACGATAGACTCCAGCTCTTGGGATTATTCCCACTGAGCTACAGGAGAATCAGAGGTGACCTGATTATGGCGTACACCATATTAAACACGCCAAACCATCCCAATGTGAGCATCTTCCCGATGCATCACCACCACTCCCCTCGAGGCAATCCTCGAAAGATTGCACATCAAAGAGCAAACACTCAGATTCGTGCACACTTTTTCTCATTGCGAGTCGTCGCAACTTGCAATGCTCTCCTAACCGAGGTAGTTACAGCCCCCTCAGTGGACTGCTTTAAGAAGAGACTTGATAATCACGTACTCA